TTTTCAAGGCGGATTTGGGCTGCAGAGGAGATTGTGGGGGGAGATGATGTTCAGGAATGTTAGTTTGAATGGGTGAAAGAGGGGTTGATGGATATTTCTTTACACCCAAGATATCAGATTCTTCAGGGGTTACTCCTTGGATGTCAACAAAAATCTATAAAAAATTATTCTCAAATAAATACGCAATCTAAATGCAATCATATACGCAAGATATACGCATTGTATATGCAGTATATACACATTCCATACGCACAACGTACGCAATACATACGCAAACTGTACATAATAAATAAGCAATATATAAAACTGTACACAATAAATACCTGTCTTCTCTTTAAATTAACAAATAATTTGTCTGTCTTCTCAGTGTTATACACAATGTCATCAGACCATTGAAGAAAACGGGGCCTTCTGTCAGGATACTTTAGGAGATGAATGGAAGTGTGCTCTAGTAATCAAACCTGCATAAAATTGAGATATTCTCAGTAAAATTTAGCAAAACAATCAGTCAATTAAAATGTTTAATTAGAATTGTTTTAACACTCACAATAAGCAGTGGCACAAATTCATTTACATAACCCGCTGGTCTGTTCTTTGAGATCTTCATAGATACATTATTAAAATCTTCAACCAGGCATTTCCAAATTGCCCATGCCCAGTTAATTGATGAAAAATCATCAACATTATTTGCTATTGTCTTTAACCTCTTAGGAACTTTAAAGTTGCTTTGTTGGAAAAATAAATTAGAACACAAATACATAATAAATGTTTTCAACATGGTATCTAGGGAGCTTTCCCTAGTCAACTCAAACATTTTAGTCTTAATATCCTTTGAAGTGATTGTTGAAGTCGGCAAGGACATCCAAGTAATCTCCTCACCTCTGTTTGGTAGTCCAGTCAGGAGGGCAACTTCATCAGCTGTGAAAGGTACAACATGACCCTCTATAATGAAGCTTTGCTTTTCAATGTTCCACATTGTCAGCAGCTGGTAGATAAGTGGGGCGTTTTGCTCAAATCCAAGAAATTGAAGAAATTGATAAATATTCAGTTCCTTCAATTTTTCTTCAATTTCAACAGGAATTATATCGGAAAATGTATCACACATTATTCTGAAGGTCGAAACATAGCATCTATATGATATAGGACGGACGTAGGTCTGCGTAGAATAAGAAACTATAATTAAATACGCATATAAAATGCAATAAATTACGCAAATCATACGCATATTATACGCAAGTTGTACGCATACCATACGCAAAACATACGCGTTACATACACAAGATGTACGCATACCATACGCAATATACGCAAATGATAAGAAAAATATCAGCAGAAATCTAGGGTTTTTTTCACTAATCGTTTTTTCTTTATTAGAAGTTTAGTTTTATGATTTAAAGTTCCAAAGTATTTATTATAAAACGTTAGGGTTTGTCTTTAACTTATACGCAGAAAATAAGCGACATTTACACATAATATACACATTGTATACAAAATAAATTAGCAGAAAGAACGAATATGGTGTGATAAATATAATCTTTTATAGATACTTGGAATGATTTGATTTTATTTATTGGTTTCTTCAGCAAATACGCGTTGAATATCATAAAAATACGTAGTTCGTTTTATGTCATTGTAAGAATTTACGCACCTTTCTCTTTGCAGGTGAATCCTCCATGTTGAGCAAAAGAGATTGATGGATTTTTCAGAAAATTTTTTTTGCAGGAAGCTCGGGAGTGCTGGAGCGAATGGATAGAAATCTGGAATTTCGAAAATGTTAAAATTTTCCGCGTTTTTCGTTGTATTTACTGGGCGGGCCATCGGTCTTTTCATCTCTGAAATGACGAACGGGTCGGACCTTACTTGCCACATAGACAAACCATGCGTAATGAATTTATTCGCTGCCGAACACATTCTTGTGATCGGATTCCATATAGAATAATTTCTCATTGGCTGACTAGAAAAAAATAAAATACAAAATATCCGCTACTGTCGCGATTTTATTGTCCGGACTCTCCACTTAAACCTCCTCTTGGCTCACCGGCCATTCTACAGTTTTGATAATGGCATCGGCATCTCTTTCCACGAAAGCCCAATCTCCAGTATTGAAAACATACATGAAAGCCCCCGAGGGCCGTTATACGCTCCAGTATGAGAAGATACACCCTGCCAGTCTTCTTCAGTATTACCACGCCAAGACCATCTCTCAGGTACCGTTATTGAGGATCTTGATGAGTTTTATTGGCGAGTCGTAGTAAAGTCGTATGAATTCTGCAGCTAACGATAGCTGATCTCAAGGAGAAATCGGTCGCACAGACGGTCACCACTCTGCCTGCCGCCACTTCCGCCAGTTCCACAAGGACGGTGGCTTCAAGGCTTCTTGGAGGAGCGGGGAGTGGCGCAAGAGCCCTAAGCTTTTCCGGTGGGAATGGTACGGGCAAGGCCGCCTGCGTGGGCGGCAAGATTGGAGGGTCTGTGCCTACTACCTCGGGTTGGACTAGTTATTCATCAAATTCTGATTATTATGAGAGGGGGACGTACCTGGTCTTCAATGCTGGAGATACGCTTTACATTAGTGATCTTAATTCACCAGACAAGGTCTTTTTTTTTTTGGTCTTCCAATTACAAGTTCATCATTAATATTTGGTTTGTTAGCTTTTGTTGGTTCCTAATTTGTTTAGGCTTGCTGTTCCAGGATCCTATAAAATCTATTCATTTTGGAAATTCAAACCCTATGTGCCATGCATTTGATTCAAAGTCGGATGGACATGATTTGTTGATTGGACTGCAGAATGGAGATAGTAAGTTCAACATTTTCTATCTTGAGATGGTCCACTTAATTTTTTTTTTGTCTCCGACCCTCCTATTTTTGTTGCTGTTGCTGCCATCTTTCTCTCAATTTCTATGTTCCTTTCTCGGGCTTTGCAGTCTATTCAGTGTCATTCAGACAGCAGCTGCATGATGCTGGGAAGAAGCTTATTGGTGCTCAGCATTATAACAAAGATGGTGTGATGACCAACAGGTGTGTTCTTGTTCATGTTTTTACTGTTTATTGTCGACAAGTTAACTTTTCTGTCTTATATGTGATATGAGATGAAATATGAACCAGTATAAAAAAAAAGACCTACCTGATGAGGAGATCGGACCATGGAGAGTCTACTGTAGGAGAGGCCGACGATCTACGGCCGTGATTGAGTCGTTATATTTCTAGTTTTTCTTGTTTGCATGAGACTTATTTATGTTATTAATTTGTTCCCTGTTTTGCCCCTCTTAATTGTTTATGTTGTGGTTGTTATTGATGTGTATTGTTTTCAGTTATTTATTTTCTGTTTTGCCCTCTACTTATGTGATGTGTCATGGGTATTGTTGTCTTTTGGTTTTTCCCTTTGTTTGGGCCTATATATATGGCTCTCCCCTCATGTAATGTTATGATGATTATGTTATAAAATTTTGATTTTGTGTGATCTTGTTCTCTTGGGGAATTGAGAGTGTGAGCATGAGAAGTCTTTGGAGAAGGCAAAGCATCACCCAACAGCCTTTGGGCTCTTGGTTTTTATCTAGCCGAACGCCCAACCCCCATCTCCTGCACCAGCCGAGCATCTCCCACCTCCACTGGCAGCTCCTACAGTCCACAAAATTTTGCCTCAACACCAACAACAAACGCCCTTTCATTTTCTCTTATGACCCTTAATATTCCAACATTAAATGCACTTGAACCCTTGGTATTCCCAAGCATAATTAATGTAGAAATCAATTTGAATTTTCATTTAATTTGTAGGATTTCCAAACCACCTTTCTATCTTCCCAAGCAACCCTCATTAAGTTTCAACTTTTTCCTTTCCAAAGCCAAACATTAATTCCTCCACTTAGCCATGCACAATTAATTACAATTTAAAGCTTCTAATTAATTGGTCAAACTTCCCTTAATTATTTTTCCCTAATCCCTTGCCTACTCACTCCTCTTCCCATATACTGCCATTAATTCCCAAGCAATTTCCTAAGCTCCACTTAATGTTGCCTTAAATACCTTCCCCTTTCCCAAGTTGGCCGACCCCTTCCCCTTCCCTCTTCCACATCATTTCTTCTCCATGTGACTACTTTTCTCTCCCATATCAGCCACACTCAAAGGAGAAAATAGTGAGCATTCGCATTTAAATTCAGCCAACATCAAGGAGGAATCACATAGAAATCTGAAAGCATTTTGCAAGAGAAGCAAGTATATGAAGATAGCCATCAAGGAGTCCAACTACGTTATTATTGAGCTAAGTATCTAAACCATTCTTCTTAATTATTCTCCTCTTAGCCAGATACTTGGTTTGCCTTCCTTCTTGGTAACATCGTTGCAAGTTTGTTATTTTATCCCCTCTTAGTTGTACTTAAATTTGAGAGAAAGGACCACACTTGTATTGTTTTTTGTTGAATGTTGTGCTTGTGCCGATTTACATATGTTATGTCTCAATTATCTTATCCTTTGCAATGTCAAGCCATTGCATGCAAGTGTTCAAGTAACTTCACATGTTTCTAATTCAAATAGCCTATTGTTTTTACTATTTTGCAAAGTTTATGTTCTTGCGTTTTAATTAATTCTAACAAGAAATCGCTTTTTGCAGGACTTGATCATTCAGTCCTGCATCACTACCTTACTCTCGCATGCCATGATGCATATGATGAGCCTATAAGAAAAAAAGTCTTAGATGTATTTTTTGGGATAATTTTGCTGTTTATATGTGATAATAAATTAATAATGAAAGTTTTTATTATTAGCCAGATTTTGATTTTGTGGTATCTTGCAAAAATATAAGTACTTGTTATTGATAAAACTTTTCTTAAGTTATAATACTATTTATATTTGCACTAGCATACTTTATGAATATTAGATAATCTAGTAATTAGAAACCTATTTCTTGATTGTATTGGAGATTTTAAAACAAAAGAAAAAGAAGATTGGTGTTTCATACTATAGCCTTCTTTATAAAAGAAGTCTTTATTGATAATTTTAGCCTAATTGCTTTGATCTTCCTTAGATTATGTTTTCCTACTCATTATATTCATCCTATACTTTCAACATCTATGCTATCACCTAACTGCATTATACAAATTTTTTTGCTCTTTATTGTACATGCCCATATGACCTTAATTCATTTTTTTTTTCAGAACATTGCCTTGAGTTGGCATTACTAAAATATCTATTACTTTAAAAACAATAATTTATTTTCTTTTCTTCATGATTATAGGGCATCTATTTTGATTTTTTTTTACACCTAGCTTGATTTCATTGTGCATTCAATATTATCACTTTAGTCATGATTAGAGAAAAATTCCATCCTAGGTCATTTCAAGTTAAAACCACTTGAATTTAACTAGATTCCCATCTGAGTCCTAAACCAATGTGCATATAGAATTTGTATTGGCCTTCTCTCAAGAGAAAGGGGCATGCACCTTCATTAACAAATAGTTTTTGGAAATTGTGTATAACAATCACATTAGACATGAAATCATGATTGTGTTGTAATTGAATATTTATGTGCGTGTAAAGTTTTCCATTGGTTGGACATGAGCCAAAATGGTTTGAAATGAGAGAGGGGGGGGGGGGAGATTTTTTTGAATGGTGATGTAAGGTCTATATGATCTTCATTATGAAGACAACAACTTGATTACATGGTGGTGGATGTGTTATTTGGGTGGTGATGAAATATATATTCAGGTTTTCGATAAATTTGGTACAAAAATATCTAGGCTATCAAAGGAAAATTTTTGTTTGAAAAAGAAAGCGGAACTCTAGATTAAAGGTTTGGAATGTTAAGGAACTAATTATTATGATCATATGATTTTTGGATCAGTGGTTAAAAAGTTATGATATTGTTAATCTGATTGCTCACATCAAAATATTAGCTCTCTATATTGAAATTTTAGCTAGAGAATCATAGGATTATTGGGGAGTTGAGTTATTATAAAGTTATGATAAATGTGAAGGAATATTTAGGAGAGTTTTGAAGAGATTGTATGTATTTTTTATTTAAGAGAAGCTAGGCTCGTGATATTTAGATAGTAGATTATATGAAAATTATGTCGAAAAAGAGGATGAATAAGAGTATAAAAAAGATAATTAAATGTTAACCAAAGCTCTAAGAGATTAGCCACCAAGTATCACTGGAGAGTGGAGAAGCCACCATGCTTTTTCTATATGAACTTTAAGCATGCAAAAATAATTTTTATTCAAAAAATCAAAAGGTATAAAGCAATGTCCTATTTATAGATTTGTTTTTCAAATTTAGATAATTTAAAAACATCAGGAGCCAATAAATATTATTCTATGTTTTGATGATTAATATTAATGAAAAAAAAAATAAAAAAAATGAAAAAAAGAGAAATAAAATAAAATTTAAAGCCTTTAAATATATGAAATTTTGGATTTGCTAAACAAGATAAGTAGAGTGGTCCTAAAATCAAACAATTTATGAAATTTTTATTTCCTTAACTGGTAAGGCGCACATTCCCATAAAATAACCTTAATTTGAGCTTCTTTATTATTCTTTCATAAATTTAAAGTGATTATTGGTCATCTATGATCTTGTATGAAGAGATGTACATGATAAACTAGTAAAATCTTGATATAGAGCTTTAGTTTGTGATCTTATCATTGACCTTTGTCATGGTGTAATATCAACTCCATCGAACCTCAAAGAACTCTACTATACAGAGATAAAGTCTATGTTCATCAACAAAATTTGGTGCAAGCTTCTCTATATCTTTTTTTGCTTCTCTATAACTTTTTTGGTCATCCAAGACTCCTTAGAAGGAGGTTGGATTTTTCATTTGACCAAGAACTAGGTGATGTTCTTGTTGGTGGGTATAGTTGTTATGAAATGATGTCATTATTATCCAAAATTTATATGGCATGAGAAGACGCAAATTTGGACTTGTGCCCATGCAATAAAATTATATTGCAAATATTGAGGTTTAATTTATTAACAAGATAGTATATCCTCAATGTTGAAAATAGGATTTATTTACATGTTAGATAGCAATTCAAGGAGATAAGTCGTTGATCTAAATTTTTTATGAATTTTGAATGGGCTACAAGCTGTAGCATGAAGTTTACTATATTTGGTGAGATAATGTTCAGGGATAATTTGAATTAAGATATGATTTATTTCATTATATTTATTAGAAAGACACTTAGAATTTACTTTGTTTGTATATTTATTTAACTTAATTATTGCTTTACTTGGTCATCTAAATATTTAAAATTTGTGCAAAGGTTAATGCTGCATCTAAAACTGAATGATGGGGAATAACTACTAAATTAGTAAATTTCTTTGGGTTTCAACCAAAATACAATTTTGAAAGATATTTTTTGGGTTCTAAAAATAGTGTTATTATATGCAAACTTAGAAGTAAGTTGATGCAAGTCTCGAGTGTTAATATTTTAACCTATTAAGCACCTCAGCAAATTACCTAAGTATCTGTTAATAATTTGTGTTTGACCATCTATTTAAAGGTGAAATGTGGTTGAAAATTTAATTTTGTTTTAAATGGGTTTCATATCATTTTCTAAAAATATGATTAACATCTTTGTTTAACATTATTGTTGATGTTAACTCATACGGTAACAATTTGCTTGAAGAAAAGTTTCATTATATGGTAGGTATTATTAGTTTTTGAGCATAGAAAAAAATGTTTCATTATGGAGAACTTATCAATAACCAAGAAAATACTATCATTCCTATGAGTTCTTGGCAGTCATAAATTGAAATTCATGGAAATGTCACCCCAAGGTCGATAAGGGATTGGGAGAGCAATATATTTGCTAGCTTTTTATTTTGTTGTTTTGGTAAGTTTTTAAGTGAGATAATAAGCAATAACAAATTCAATATCTCTTTCTAGGGAGGACCAAAAATGTTTTTATGCTTCTAGCTCAATGGTTTTATGCTTGCTTAAAGTGTTTCGTTATACCCCAGAATGAAGCTAAATTATGAAAATTCTTTAAAAAATGATTTAGAGATACATAGCTTATTTTTT